TTCAGGGTTTCGGGTTTAGGGTTCACTCCCAAGCAATGCGGAGAGGGGATCCTCACAGCTTTTCTGAATACCTGTCGCCGTCCTTGCCCACAATCACTCTTCGGCGAGCCCCCAGAGACTCCAAAACGCCTTGCATGTAGGCATTGATACCATGACTAGTAGTGTTGTTACTGCTTTTACGAATTTTAAGAAAAAATACTGATTGTTGTTTTTCGGTGTGGATACTGAACCCTAAACCCTAAACCCTATGATAGGGCTTCCTCACAAGCTTGAATCTCAACACCTAGGGACTTGGGAATGGTCTTTGGTCCCCCAAAAGCTCCCTCCAAGAACCCCGAACCATGGCACATGGGGTCCATGGTTTGGGGTTAGGGTTTAGGGTTTAGGGTTTAGGGTTTATACTATCACTATGATAAGAAAATCCCCCAAAAATGGTTTTGGTAATTATTTAGGCCCCAATATTCAGCCAATGCAGAATTTTCGCATCCTTCTGTGCGACAGGGGATCTTCCTCAAATGCCTTGAGGTGCCATTCCGAGGAGACAGCCCCCCGAAAGGCCCCAGACAACGAAACCGTGAAGCCCAGCACCCTAAACCCTAAACCCGCATCCTAAACCTTAAACCCTAAACCCTAAACCCCAAACACCCAAACCCTACAACCCCCCACCTCTGGAGCCTCGAGCCCCGAACCCCTGAACCCGAAAACCCAGAAGGCCTCAAACCGAAAACCCAAAACACAACCTCAAACCCTAAAATCCACAAGGCCCTAAACTATCCCCAAACCCTAAACCCTAACACCCCAAACCCTAAACCCTAAACCCCAAGGCCCTGAAGTAGACCTCAGCTCGCCGCCGCCTGAAGTGGGCTGGCAGAGTTCCGAAGGAGGGCGTAGCCTGGCTTTCTGCAGAGTTTAAAGTTGGGCGGTTTTAAAAGGGCATGTGGTTTGGTTCCTATATAGTTAGTATAGTGTAGTATAGTTTATATAACAGAAATATTCTAAGTTTCAGGGCTTTTTTCTTGGAAAACCCTGGGTGTAGGGTTTAGGGTTTAGGGGTTTAGGGTTGAGGCTTCAGGGTTTAGGGTTTAGGGGTGCAGGGTTGAGGCTTGAGGGTTAGGGTTTAGGGATCAAGAGTTAGGGTTGAGGATTTTGGGCTTGGGATGTCGGGAGGGTCGCGGGTTCAGGGAGACTTTAACTCGTCAGCGCCTTGAACTTGACGATTGAAAAGGGTTTAGGGTTTAGGGTCTCCATCGTCAGAATGGGGCGTAGTCTAGTGTCGTCAAAACGGAGCTGAGTTACGAATTGATCTATACGGGCCATTGCGGCGGGGTTACGGCTCGGTTTCAGGCTGTGGGGCTCGAGTATTTGAAGGGGTTTAGGGTTCAGGGTTTGGCTCAGGGTTCAGGATTTCAGGGACTAGGAATTTTGATTTTCGGGTTTGGGCTTGAGGGTGGTGTTGGGGTTCTTTGCCGTCACATCACAATCAACGGCTTGCTTAACATACCTTTAAACTACCATAGCCTACTGGTTTGTAGTGTCCCTATAACGTCTATGCTAGGTTATTTTTGATAAGAACCACAAAGGTGTACTGACAAGGGCGCGCCAAAGGGCATTCGCGACCTTGCTTTTCAGACTCTCGAAGTTCAATTTCCTCAAGGGGACAGGGGGGGCCCGAGAGCGCGGTGCAAAAAACCACGGGACGAGACCCGCATAGCAAAGGAAGGCCCCAAGGCCATCTGCCCAAGAGCATAGGCATAGAAACTTAGAAACCCAAAGCCAAAGGCTACTTCTGGGTGAACTGGGGAACCACATTCATCTTCCGCGCTCCCACCCCTCCCATCTCTGTAGCATCACATCAAAGATCGGCTGTTCTGACCCCGGCAGTATCTTGAAAGCGTTTGGGCTACCAGTAGAGGATCCGCTTTTTTAGGCCTTCGGGAGTCTGGCTGTGCCTTGTTACAAGGCCCTTAAGATGCCCCTTAAGTGGCCTAGGTTAAACTGAGCTATGCCCCAGCAAACCAGGTTAAGTCGGGTCCTGGACCCTTAGCAGCCAGCGAGAACGCCTCACTTGAAAGTGGGAGTCCTCCGGAAGACTGGTGAAAATCGGCAGAAAAGAGGCAGCAAATATAAAGGAATAGCAAAGACTAGGCTGTAAAGACTGCTTTACAAAGAGCTGCAACCAACGAAAGCTGGCTCCTTTGGGTTCCAGGCACCATATCATGACTGCTATGGGGCCCCCCCGAATTGATTAAGGGGGCCCCCGGGGTGCAGTTGAGTGACTACTTCTTGATGCGCAGTCCTGTGTCTTGTGCCTTTGGTCAGGCCTCTAACTCACGAGAGGAGCTGCGCAGAAATAAGAGTTATCGCCGCCGTTGTAGAACCTGAGCCACGCCGTCACGCAATGACCCTGGTGGCTAAAGAGGGCAGCTAGCAGCTAACAGATCATACTGAGCAAGCTGATATGGTCGCCATAAAGGCAATGGAATAACATTAGCGCCTTTGCGGCGTTGGAAGACCCTTTTTCTAGCTATTCGTAGCAGCCCATTTTTTTTCATTCCAGGGCGCATCTCCTGCTGCGCCCATCGAAATCTGGAGCGGGTCCCGGACCAGCCTCGGGAGCAGAAGGTACGAGCAGAAAGATCTGACCACTGGAGCCAGGGATTAGGGTTTAGGGTTTAGGATTTAGGGTTTAGGGTTTAAGGTTTAGGGTTTAGGACTTAGGGTTTAGGGTTTAGGGTTCAGAGCCAGTAGGGTTCCCCAGGTACTGAAAAGCTAAACTCTGAAGGATATGCTCAGCACTGCGACGCCTCGGTGCTCTCCTTCGATCCAGGAGCGTACCATATGGGCTTCAACAGACTTTTAGAGGGCTTAAGGAGGTTTAGGGTTTAGGGTATGATATATATATATATATATGTATATACATATACATATACATATATATATATATATATCATATATATATATATATATGTATATATCATATAATATATATATATATATATATGCTTCCGCCCCCCATCAAGCTTGCGAAGACAGGCATTTCCACGGAAACGGCACAGAGTCCGTCCAACCCGCGATCAACGGCCACAAGCCCTGCTGGAGCTGCAAAGCGAGCGGCAGCTCTTCCTGAGATGGGCTTCGGGCTTAGGGTTTAGGGTTTGGGGTTAGGGTTTAGGGTTTAGGGTTTAGGGGCGACGCAGAAAAGAATCTTCTGGCGATCGCTGTTCTCCGCAAGCAACAAACTGAACCGCATAGTCTGGCGAAGCACGCTACCCTAAAACCCAAACCCTAAACCGTAGCTGTAGAGGCAAGCTTCTTGAAGTGTTCGAAGCCTTGGCGATTCAGCTCTGCAGGGATGCGGCCGGGGGCATAAATTAAAGCTCGAAGCACGTCTCTGGACCCCAAAAGTTCTGCTGGCAAACATCATATACGAAGAGTAGAACGGAAAATCTCCGAAATCCAGAGGAACAGCGAGCCAATACCTAAACCCTCCATTTCTGCCATGAAACAGTGCATGGCTGCTGGCCAGCTCGCGAGGAAGACTCGCACGGCACCGACCTCATCGGTCTGGAAGCTTGAAACCACGTTCGCCAAGCCGGCTTGCTCGAGCATTGCCTCGCAACATAAGAACCATGCCGGACGGTGCAATGCGCGAGGCAAGAACTCAAGTTCAGTCTGTCGATCGGTCGGTCGGGCGCAGGGGAGAGGGTGAGCGAGTTAAACCCTAAAGCCCTAAACCTGAGCGAGTCAGACATTGGTTGGTTGGTCAGTTCGTGCTTAGCGCATCTGCCCAGATGTTGCCGCACTATCAGCTCGAGGCAGGGTCCCCCCGAGGCCACCTTCGCAAGAAGAAACAGGCCCTGTCAGTCGCGCCATCAAGTCTCTAGGGCTTAGGGTTTAGGGTTTAGGGGCCTGAACACCCTAAACCCTAAACACCCAAACCCTCAACACCACACCCCAAACACCTAAACACCCAAACCCTAAGCCCTGAACCCCACTGCGCCCTCGGCCTCCACGCAGCTGTTGTTGCAAAGTGCTTTCGGGAGGCCGGAAATGTCAATCCTAGCCAGAGAGGGTTTCAGGGTTTCAGGGTTTAGGGCTAAGGCTGTCAGGGCGGGTTAAGGCTGTTAGGGTTCAGGGTTCAGGTGCCAAGAAACTGCCCTTGCGGCGGGGCATGCTCTAATAGAAACCCTTCTGGAACCCTGGGCTGCGGTTCAGGGATTTTGTCGGGTTCAGGGCGTTAAGGGTAGGGATTACTGTCGTAAGTGTCCAGGGTTTAAGGATCCTGAGGGTGTGAGCTTACCTTCTCACATCGTAGGAGAGGAACGAAAGTTCATCCAGATTCTATTGGCTGCCCAGAACGAAAACAGAATGAATCAGTAGACGTGGGTTTTAGGCGGCATAATGCTGTCAACATATCAGAAAGCCCACCGGAAACACCATGAGGAACCCCTCAGGCCCAACCCTGATTTCCCTACATTCACCCAGTGCGGACCGGGCGACACAGGGATGCCATAGCTGAACATGGTTGCGGTTGGCGTGGGACTTTGGGGACTCTGGGGACAAAACGTGCGTTGAGTCCTCACATGGGCGGTGCGCATCGGCAGGGGGTTTCGGGTTTAGGGTTCCCAGGGTTCGAGAAACGAATTGAAGTAACAGTTCAAAACTTACACCATCTGTGATTTTGACACCACAAAAACTTCCACAAGCTGTGGCCGTTGAGCCTGACCCCTAAACCCCCAAAGCCCCAAAACCCCATCTAAATCCCTAAACCCCTAACGGTTTAGGGTTTAGTTAGGGTTTAGGGTTTAGGATTTTGCACGCGGCCCGTCATGGAACAGCTAAACGGAGCCCCGTGAACCCCAAACCCCTAAATTCTGAAACCCTGAGCCCCTGAAGCCCAAACCCCTAAACCCCTAAAACCCCTAACCTCCGAAATCCCTCAACCCTAAACCCAAATCCCTAAACCCCTGGTCTCCCAAACCCTACACCGCCCAACCCTGAACTCCTAAACCCTAAAGCCTAAGCCTCGAAGGCCTTCACGGTCCTTGCTATACCTTTTGTCGAATATACTCCAGAACCCTCTTCCAATTCTTAAAGCCCCGATGTGACACCAAAACAGTACTGTTATTTATTTAGGCCCCCGATATTACATGCCATCCCAAACCTACACCCTAAACACCAAACCCAACCCTAAACCACAAACCCCAAACCCTGAACCCCAAACCCTAAACCCTAAACCCCAACCCCTAAACCCCAAACCCCAAACACCAAACCCTGAACCCTAAACCCTAAACCCCAACCCTAAACCCTAAACCCTAAACCCCAAACCCTAAGCCCTAAACCCTATGTTAGGGCTCTGGCCAAGGAGCACGCTCTTTGCCTGAAACTCCTCGGGCTCGGGCGCTGCCACCGGCGTGGGAGATGATTGCCTGAAGGATGCCAGGCTTTTAGGGGTTTAGGGCTTAGAGCTTAGAGGTTCAGGGTTTAGGGTTTGGGGTTTAGGGGTTTAGGCTTTTAGGGTTCAGGGATTAAGTGTTTTTTTTTTGAACCCCCATTGTTTACCTGGGATTAGGGGTTTTGGGTTTAGGGCTTGGGGTTTAGGGTTGCTGCGGATCTCCGAAACTCCTTTCGTTGAGGCTTAAGGGGTTTAGGGGTTTAGGGTTTCGGAGTGGCGTGGGGTCTAGCAGTTTTGGGGGGCTTCAAGGGTTCAGGGATTCAGGTCCCCGCAACTTTTGGGGAGTTTCGGCTTCTTTTTCGGGGTCGGAAGACCAGGCGCGACGGCTGAAGCACGCTCTGCATGCTTGGAGTACTTCGAAACGGGTTTTTATAACGGTTATTATGTCGGCTTTCTATATGGGTTGTGTGGGCTTTATACAAGATGGGGGCATGAGTAAGTATTGGAGTAGTGCTTTGGGGAGGTATGCTCTAAGAGTATATAGCGACCCTACGAGGACCGTCATACAAATCGCTCAGACCTCTAGATCACCTTTTTCATGGGAGCACGGGGGCGCTCACGTCCTCCATACTCGATCACGCTCCAACAGCAAAGCCCTGGTCAAATCCAACCGTCTTCGACAAGCCGAAAGCTCCAACAGAGTTCAGTAAGGGCCTTAGGGATTAGGGTTTTAGGGTCTAGGGCTTAGGGTCCCCGGGATCTTCTGGTAGGACATGGGGTTCTTCGCAGTGCATTACGAAATACAAAAATGCTCCAGAGTTATCATAAGAAGGATCTGGAGTATGTGGGAGCGTGCTTTGATCCTGGCACATCGCATTCCCAAGTCCCCGAATCCGATACCGTGATGTCTCGATGATCATCTCGTCTCAAAGATCTGCCATAGGCAGGTATTTTTGGGTTGCGATACGTAGGAACTCTGCGTGTCGTTCATGGAGCTTTGCTCCAACCTTGGATTCGTTGTTTGTTGGAGGCTGCCGAAGGTCAGGGTTTCGGGTTCAGGGTTTAGGGTTTAAGTAATGATATCGGAGTTGCGATGAGTAGTCCTCCGCCCAATTGCCGGGTTCACCTTGCAGCGGAGTGATCAGCTGCCGAGAACGCCCCAATGATCATAACCCCAATAGTGCCACTAGAATTAAGTTATGCGCACCCCGACATCCAAGCCGGAGCATGCCATGACTTGATGGAACTGATTTGGCGACAGGGTCACTCATCAGCACCGAAGCACTATGCCACAGTGCCCTTTCGGAAATGCGATTGCCACACAGTCTGAGTTGTGTCGACAGAAGTGCCCGAACATTTGCCGAATTTGCTTCCGGTTAGTGACGCAGCCTCATATCACTGACATGTAGTACTTCTCTCCTGCAATCAAGCAGCTGTCTGTCAGCAGATCCTCTGAAAGCTCTGCCCAGGATTGCTTGCGCACGTCGGACGGGGTTGAGCCTTGCAGAAAGTATACTGGTTCAAGTCCTAAGCCGGCAACCCGGACCGCAGTGGGTAACAAGCAACAGCGGCTGTCGTCGCAAGAGTAAATGCAAATACTAGCAGTGGCAGTGGCGGTGGCAGTGGCGGTGGCAGCGTCAGGCGCAGGGCAGCGGCGGTGGCGGTGGCGGTGGCGGTGGCGGTGGCGGTGGCGGCGTCGGTTGCTGTTGCTGTTTGCTGTTGCTGCTGAAACTGCTGTAGCTGTAGCTGTAGGAGTAGAAAGAGCAAGAGTAGCAGTAGCAGTAGCAGTAGCAGTGGTAGTAGTAGTACGTCTTAGTAGTAGCAGGAGTAGTAGGAGTGGCAGTGGCAGTGGCGATGGCAGTGGTAGCAGCACCCGGAATAGTAGCCGTCGTCGTCGGCGCAGTAGCAATTTGCCCTCAATCTGTCGTGTCCCAAATTGCAAGAGCTGTTGGTGTTCTGCTTCTGCATGAGCATCATCCTCGGATCGGCGGGGAAGCTGGGCATTAGGGCCCACTGAGGTTTGGGGTACACCGGGTTAGGGTGCTTCAGGGGTTTAGGGTCCAGGGCTCTACGTTTAGGAGCTTCGTGCGAAAGGGACTTGGGGAGTGAATCTCGAAGCGCGGTCCGTTAGGGGCAAATCCTAGGGTTTAGTGTCCGCCTGTGTTCCAAAAACCTACCATTTTAAGGAGCTCTATAATATAGAACTAGAAACCCTGGCAAGGATGGTCTTTTCGGCTAAAGGTGGAGGCATCCCACGACTTGGAGCACCGCCTTTTTGCAAGGCGCCACCACGCACGATTTGCTGGACGCAGTTTCCAGGGCTAATATAGGGCTTGTGGGCTCAGGAACCATAAGGACTTTATAAGGACTAGTAACAGTGACTACTATCGGTCGTGATTCAGGCTTCCGCGTGAAAAAGCCTGGAGTTGATCTGCTCCAAACTGCGCCTTGTGGAAGGATCTGCCTGAACCGTTACTACAGTACCTCCTGCAATCGGAAACCAGAAGCTCGGACAGGGCATCAAGCGCCCCAAGATGGCCCAAGATGGCCCCAAACCTTCACATTTCAACCACAGCCACACTGCACCCGACTCACTGCACCCCTGAACCGTAAACTAGCATGCCGAACCTGGCGAACCTTCCAAACCTAAACTTCTGTCAAGTTTGCGGGGCCAGGGCATTCTGCTGCCAGGGCGCTTGAAACACAAGTGAGGTCGGCTGGGGGGGATCCTGTCTATTTCGGTGGCAGCTCGGAGCAAAAAAGCGACGGGGCACTTGGCAGCTAACTGTCAGAGGAGGCGTGCAGCCATCCAGGTCTCCGTGTCATCCGTCCTTACACGGATACATACATGTGTGCATACATTTATGCTGCATATACAAGGATGGATATATATATATATATATATATACACATATATATATATATATGTACTTGGACTTATATATAGATATAGATGCAGCTATAGACCTAGATGTAGATAGAGATATATATATATATATACACACACCTACTTGCATACATCATAAGCCTCTGTGTCAGAGCAGGCACTTCCGTGTGCCGCATAGATGCGAGTAGATGTGTTTCTGTAGCTATGTGGCAGGAAGTCTGTGTGTGTGTGTGTGCGTGTGTGGGGGGTGCCTGCATGTGCGTGCATAGGAACCATACCACTACACATGTACAAGAGTGTATACATATATGTTTATAGTTACATGTATATGCAGACTGTGCATATATATATATATATACGCACATACATACATACATACATACATACATACATACATACATACATACATACATACCCACACCGTTGGATAGAGAGAAATAGACACAGAGAGATAGGTGCCAAAAAATAGCTGGATAGATCGATAGATAGCCAGAATGCTCCAACAAGGATCGCGCAATGCAATGGACAACAGCAGAGGGCAGGCTGGGCAGAAGCTTCAAGTACGATGCCTGAGCATGTGGATCTGCGGGCGCTGGGCAAAAGATGTTGGACACAACCGTAGACTTCACTCCATAAAGCTACAAATCTCAAACTCGAAACATAGCGGCGATCATGCAGGCTTCTGGAACCGTGATGCCAGGTGCATAAACTCGCCGTGGAAGGCCAATGCCCTTGCCGATCGTCATGGGCCAGAGCACATGTTGCACAACCTGTCAAAACTTGTTTGCTGAGACTCCTGGTGCATAGTTGGGTTCGACTGCCCCACCAACAGCGAGGAGTTCAATGAACTACCTTTACTGCGCACGATGCGAACAGCACTGATTGCACCAAGGTCACTCAAGCGTCCGCTGAATTCGCAGTGTGCCCACGCACCTTCTACTTATCGGTGTTCCATACGTACCCCATTGCCTTTGCTTGCTCAAGGTCTCTCTTCCATCTATTCCTTTCAGCATGGCTTTCGCGAGAAAGCTTGACAGAACCATCGTGAAACTAGCTGATGTGCCTGCAGACATGCCGGGGGTCCTGTTCCCAACTGTCCTCTTATGTAGGCTCCTGTATGCAGGGGTCCCCAAGATAAAGGATCCCGGTCGTCAGGGCCTATCTCTTAAAGGTTCTGGGTATTCCGAACCTCCCATATCCCAGCCTGCAGGCACTGACACAACGCCGAGATTCGGATTGGCTTCTGGAGCTCCAGCGCAAAGAATCCCTATCAAGCCCTGTGCAACGTCCGCAGACATTTTGTAGTAGCAAATGAAGCCGCCTAAAACCCTTCTAAAGCAAATCCCGAAACCCCGAATCATCCCTACGTAGTCCCTTCACCCAAAGCACCCCGTAAACCCCACGTACCCTCAGACCCCAAACCCAGCTCGATTCTGTGCCTCCCGGGTCGTGTGTTCGGCCGCGAAGTGCTTCTCGTTTTCCTTTGTGTAAGGGTTTAGGGTTAAGGGTTAAGGGTTAAGGGTTTAGGGTTTAGGGTTTAGGGTTTGGGGTTTAGGGTTTAGGGTTTAGGGTTTGGGGTTTAGGGTTTAGGGTTTTGGTTAAGGGAACCTACAAGTGGGGAGTTTAGGGTATATAGGGCTTCTACAAGGCTTCCATAAGGTATATAGACCTTCTATAAGGCTCCTATAGCAGTAACTACCCACCCTGAAAATGTCCCAGACTTGGAAGTGGCGGCTTTCATGTGGATGGGTTTAGGGCGTAGGGCTTAGGCTTCCGGATTTCGGCTCAGGGTCGACGGTTAGTCTAGGGACATGCATTAAAGTATAGAGAGACGGTTTAGGGTTTAGGGTTTAGGGGCCTTGATAAATAAAACATAGCAGGGGTGGTGCTGTGCTCTCGCGACGCAGACGAATCGTGACGAATTCCCAAAAGCCCAAACCCCAAACACTATCAACCCTCCATGCTCACGCCGAGGAAATCAGAGCGAAGACAAATCCGAGGTCCGAAAAATGCACAACGATCCAAAGCGCACAACGATCCAAAGCTATCTACTGCAGGGTGTTGGGAGCGTTTTGGATTTCAGTAGGGGCCTTAGCAGTTCAGTATCCGCTTCTGGTCCATACATATCATAAACGTACTGCAGCCTACCCCAGAAGCCTCTCCAATGATTATATCAGGCCACTATGCAACCCTGTAAAGCCCAATGACACCAGCACAACACCCTCTTCAACTTCAACGCCTAAACCCTGAACCCTTACAGCAAAGCCCCTAGACCAAGCTCGTGAAAGTGAGTAGCTATCTCACAGAGCTGGTCGAGGCTGATGCCCCACCTCCGCAATCAGCACCAGGGCGCGACCGTTCGGTTTGGGCCCAGGGATTTGGGGCTTCGGGGTTTGGGCTTTAGGGTTCAGGGTTTTAGGGTTTAGGGTTTAGGGTTTAGGGTTTAGGGTTTAGGGTTTGGGGTTTAGGGTTTTGGGCTGAGGGCTTGGGGCGGTTTGGGGGTCGGGCTCTAAGTCGCCAGACTCCTGGATGTTGGGTACTTCGGTGGCTTTCTATGCACATTCCCGAGGCGATGCTCACTATTCAGGCCCCCATATCACGGTTGGGGGGGAAGTCTCTCTTGATTCCAGAGAGCCCAATACCCCTTAATTAAGGAATATACTTTAAATCATTAGTTTAAGGTATGTTCCTTAATTAAGGGGTATTGAATTCTCTCTTGATATTGAAACCACTCCTACGAGGTGTGTCTTTACCGGTCCTGCGATTGAAGAAACGCTAACACCCCGCACAAAAATGTTGAACTATCCTGCAAGCTGCAGAGGCCCAACCCCCCTGCCCAAAATAGATTTAAAGAAGAAAAGGATCGAATACCCCAGGCCCAAAACCTGCCTAAAAAGGCCGGAAAAGCCTGAACGCACTGAAACCTTTACAGAACTCCTCACACGAACCCCTGTGGAAATCTTGTACGACCCTTGACTTGAAGAACCCACTAACTCAATTTCGCACCTTTTCAACCCTAAACCCTGAACCCAAAACGCTAGACCCTAAACTCCGATCCCAAACCCGAGACCCTGAACCCTGAACCCCGAACCCCAAGCCCCAAACCCTAATCCCGAAGCCCTACTAGTCCCTAATCCCTAATCCCTAAACCCTAAACCCCTAATCCCTAAACTCGAATCCTATAGGCCCCTAAGGCCCAAAGCAGGCCTGTCCGGTGGCACGCCGCGCTGAAGCAAAGCCGAGGACGCAGGCACTCGCACAGTACCCGGCCTGCTGGGGTTCAGGATTTTAGGTTTTTAGGGCTTAGGGTTTTAGGTTTTAAGGGTTTAAGGTTTAGGGCTTTAGGTTTTTCGGTTTTTAGGGTTTAGGGTTTAGGGTTTTAGGTTTTTAGGGTTTAGGGTTTAGGGTTTTTAAGGGTTTAGGGTTTAGGGTTTGCATCGACAGGGAGACTTGACGAGGCTTCGGATCTTGGGCTTTTGGAGGCGTCTGGTTTGGAACCGTAGGGTTTTAAGGTTTAGGGCTTTTCGAGATTTGGGGTGTAGAGCTTTGGTGGTTTAGGGTGTCACGGATGTTCGCTGTTTCAGGGTATTTAGTCTGGGTTCTCGCCCGCTGCCTTCTGCGGTAGACTTCGCTCATCAATTTTGTGAATGTACGCTGCAGGTAGGCATTGACATACATGCATGTGCACGTGATATACATACATACATACATACATACATACATACATACATACACACATACATACATACATATAGGTATACATATGTCTATATTCATCATATATTTATACCTATACGTATACATATACACGTACATGTCAATACGTACACATGTACATATACATATCCATATACATGTACATACACATATACACACACCTACATACACAAATACATACATAGATACATACATACATACATTACATTACATTACATTACATTACATTACATTACATTACATTCCATTCCATTCCATTCCATTCCATTCCATTCCATTCCATTCCATTACATTACATTACATTTCATTACATTTC